CTCTGTGGGCAGTACCCCCAGTGACCTGAGGGCTTTTAACCAAACTCCACCTTCTAAAGCTCTGACCACATCGGTACAATAATGAGGCCATGCTTCCAGCACAGGAGACTAAGGCACAAACATATAGAAAACAGCACACTCAGAAAGTGTCAGTCTCACAGAAATCCATCAACAGCTTTCGTGTGGTTAACTGTGTGCCTGTTGTTTCTACCCATCACCAACAAGAAAAGCTTCCAAAGATGTCTGCAGCTACAAGCCGTGTGAACTTCAGGGATGGACTGAGTGGTGGGGTGAGGTGGAGCTCCTAGAAGTGTTAGGAAGTCCAGATAGACCCTCTCCAAGTAGACCCAAGAACTCCAGTTCACCGGTGCCTTGGAAATTCTGTCTTGCTGGCACTGTATTTGTATAAGAATTGGGTGTGGAAGCTTCTTTGGTCAAGCCCATTCCTCAATGAAGCTCCTGCCTCATGTTTTAGATATGTGGTTGGGATTACCAACTTTGTCTCTGCACTGTGTACCTCAGGGCCTGGCCTGTACTGCCAGCAAATAGGTTCTGACTGGGTCCTCCTCATTGGGGCTGCGTCGAAGGGGAGTTACAAATAGTCCACATCAGCCTTAGTTACTAATCTGTTGCTGTGTGATAGCACACCATGGCCAAGGCAATTCATAGAAGAGTGTATTAGGGTTTACAGTGAGAGGTGAGAGCCCATCATGTAAGGTAAGAATTGGCAGCAAGTGGCAGGGGTGGCAGCCGGAACACAAAGCTGCAAGCTCACTGTCAAGGACAAAGAAGAGAGAGTGAATGGGAAGGAACACATTTTTTCAGAGCCTGTCTCTGTGATGTACTTCCTCCAGCAAGGTTGTACCACATAAACATCCCCAAACAACACTACCAATTGGGAACCAAATATTCCAACGCTCAAGAGTATGGAAGAGATTTCTTATGCAAACCATCACATTCTCCCTCCATAATTCAGATCAGCTACCATGTTAGCCATATTTAAATTCTGCTTAGCTACTATATAAACTTCATACTTTTCTTCTTTTGTGGATGACCTAGAAAAATGTCTAAAAATAAAAAGTGGTCAACAATATTTCAAATAAACCAGGAAGTAGGCACACAAGAAAATTTGTGATTACCCGGGAGCTCTGGCAAACACTATTTAACAGGAGCAAAACCTCATGAGGCAAGGGGCAAAGAGGAGCTGGAGTAGAGTTGCATGTACTCTGGGCCTGTGCTCCAGCAGAGGAGCTCAGCTGTCCCATTGTCCACGTTTATTAAGCTTTGCAACTGAATGACCTTGACAGGTATATGGAAGAGAAGGAAGGTATAAGCCGAACTCACACTTCAGTTGCTGGGGACACATTTGTCTCCCAGGCAGCAGTGCCGAAAGTCCCTGTCCTTCAGGATAGGAAGTTGATCTTTAAACCTCTCTCACTTGGGAAGCCGAGAGCTGCAGGGCCTAGGTATTAGTCAGCTGTGCTATGTGGTGATAGGATGTTGAGTAAAGCTGTTGCCTGAGGAGCCTAGGGAGAGAGAGGTTGCACTGGCCCGTTTCTTGTATATGTTTCATACTCAGAAAGAATGAGAATAACTGTGTCCAGGAGGAAGAGTGCAGAACATGAAAGAGTCCCACAAAGCCTTGGGCTTTCCCCTGAACACGGGTAGTTTTCATATCCCCTAATCCTTTCATCTAAGCTAGCAATGAAGTACCAGTGACTGATGTGAGCTGGAACCTAGAATTTTAGGCCCTTGTAACTTCTGTTCTGCTCTCCTGGAACCTTGACCTGAACAGGGTGGGGAACGCATGTGAAGTAGACCCAAGGTGCCCGCCTGATAGCCAGCACCAGTTTCGGACTTGTGCAGGCTGCTTTAAGGAACTCCCCAGCTAGTGCAATGCTCCGTCCAAAGACAGCCACACAAGTGAGCCCGGGTAACTACACAGCAATGGGAGGGGTGGACCAGCCTCACCAGGCCACGCAATAGTCAACAGTAAACACTTTTGGGGTTCCGAGCCCCTAGGTTGTAAACTGATTCCTTTTAGACAAACATTAGGTTTCATTCACATCCAAAACAAACTTCAAGAAAGAAGGCAGCAAGATAAAAATTGAAAAAGGAGGAGGGAATTGCTTACTCTTTCAGATTGTTTTGCTTTCCTGTGAGACCCAGAAAGCTTGCAGAAGAAGACATCCCCATTCCCATCCTCCAGTGCTGTACAGATGAGGACTATCAAGCAAAACAGCCACAATTAATGAAGCATTACTGAAGGTCTTGCTTAGTCATTGCTTTTGGGTTCTTGTGAGAAAATAGACTTTATTCATCCAAGAATTGTAACTAAAAGTTGCTAAAAATATAACTGGCTTTCTTTTCTTTCAACATTCCTAGGCCCAGGTCCAAACTGAGACAGAATTGCAGCTTTCAGGCCAAGCAAGAGAGCAGGGCAGTCCCTGCCTGAGACTGGAATCATCCTGAGAGGCTTTGTGCTTGGCATGGCTTTCCTTCACCCAGTTGCCAAAAGGCAGTAGATGGTCTGATTTCACATCAGTTCCCCTTGCCTTCTTTTGTCCTCCCCAAGCTTCCTGTTTTCCCTATTCCCACCCCCTTCTGCTCTCCTTGCTATAACACTGATCAATGTCCTCTGTATGGAGCCTTGGACGCTTCCAAAAAAGGTCTCGTTTGTGAGTAAGCTTAATAATAAAAAAGAAAGAAAGAAAAAGAATAGAACAAAGAGCCAAAACAGGGGTTCCCACTGCTTTTCTGTTATCATTTCAATGTGATGCTGCACCCTCTGTGGCCATGGTTTAATCATTTTAACGAGCTATTAAACTTGTTTCCCTGAGTGAAATCAAATTTATTGCCATTTAGAGGACTGTAGGTAAAATAACAATTGATTTATGGTCATATATTCAAATAGTTCCTTTCAGATTTTTACATAGACAGGCTAAAAATAATATTTACCATTCTCCGAATTTTATCTACAGAAAGAGCCCTTTTAAAAAGAGGATTTTCAAGTGCGCCTTAAGAAGGTCATACAACATTGAAGAGCTTTAGGTCGCACCCATGATCCCTGGGACATTTCCCAGCAGTAAATTATAGTTGGGGCCCTGTTATATTTTTATAATGTTCCCTTCCAGACTTTTGTTTGTTTGTTTGTTTGTTTGTTTTGTTTTGTTTTTGTTTTCGAGACTGGGTTTTTCTGTGTATCCTTGGCTGTCCTGGACTCGCTTTGTAGACCATGCTGGCCTCAAACTCACGGCCTCTGCCTCTCTGAGTGCTGGGATTAAAGGTGTGCACCACCATGCCCAGCTCCAGATAGCCTTTTTAAAGCAGGACTGTCTTACACACGTACCCATTGTTTCTCCATGTTTAGACCCAAAAACACCTTTTCTGCACCAACTACGTTACCTATTTATTTTATGTTTGTAGGGTTTGGAGGCAGGATCTTGTTATACATAGCCCAGGTTAGTCTGATACTTTTGTCAGATGGGATGTCCCAAGATGGATGACGAATGTTGTATCCCTGTCGCAGCTAAGGACACAGAGAGGAGGGTAACAAGCATTATCCGCTCAGCTTCTCCATAATGCCAACTTTAACTTTCCTCTCAAATTCAACTTCCCTGCAGTTTTTGTTTTGCTCAGTGTTTTCAAGTGCAAAATAGCTGTTTTTTTCATCAGATCAGTGATGCCTGCGTGCAAGAGTCGGTCATAAAGAAGGGTGTGGGGAGGGTCACCTTCTAGCGGGGCTTTACAATTCTGCTCTAATTGCAATGAACTTGAATTTAGGAGATACTGGAGCAAATAGCAATACGGGAAGAGCTTGCTATGGAAGGAAGCACCATTGATATGGCTATGGCGTAGCCATTATCCATGCTCACTGAAGATTTCCCTAGGTTCCTGTAAGAAGTTCCTCAAGCTATGTGAGTAAGCCCAAGAAATTCATCTATTGCCTGGGCTGAACTTCGGAGAAATCAGGCTTTAGTTTGTTATTGGGACTTTCTAAAGAGCTGGGTATATATTATTTGTGCTTCCCTGCAAAAGGGATTCTCACAATATTCAGGTTATTTCTCTTAGCAACTCCTAGGTAAGCCATGTCTTAAGCCCTACCAAGTGGCTTTTGATCCTCATCTGGAACTGACAGATGAAAGAACTCAGAAAGCCAGGTGTGTGTCTTTTCGTTGCCTGGCAACTGAGTGACAGAGCTAAGGGAGCAGTGTTTTCAAGCAAGCAATTGGTCTGCCCTACGCTGAAACCCTTAGGTCAAGCAGAACCAGCTATGGCATCCGAGTTTAAGTAAGCATCTGGGAGAGGAGGAGACAGATGGTGTATTCAAGGAATCTGAAGAGGTTTGTGGGGTGTTCCCAATGCAGTGATGTAACCTCCTGTAGAATCAGAACATTTAGGAGTTTCTACCTCCTAAATGGAAGGCTGTGGTCATTTTCAGTTTGCCTTGGTATAGGATCATCTAGGAGGTGCACATCTGTGAGGGTATTTCCAGAGAAGTTTCACTGAAAAGAAAAGACTAGAGTCTCTCAAACATGAGCCAAAAGAAATCTTTCCTCCCTTTAGTTCCTTCATTGCTGGGCATGCGGTTGTAGCAGCAAGACAATCCACTACTACAGAAGCATTTAAAGAAAAAGTGATGGTAAAATAATGTATATTTCAAGATGCTGGGGTACCCACACGCTCACTCCTAAGACAAAACAATCAAATTTCAGTTTATATCTGGATTTGTAATGAAGCAGCAACAAACCAGGCAGCTCTCATTGATAACCCAATGCTACATACAGACTTGTGATGACTTGATATATATATACATATATATATATATGTATGTATGTATATGTGTGTGTGTGTGTGTGTGTGTTACCAACTTTTGTTAATCCCCTAAACAAAACAAGACCACCATTTTTCTTTTAAATCCATGGTACTTCATATTTAGAAAATCCAGGATGTATTGAATGAAAATGTCTTCATGAATAAAATGAAATCAGGGTCTAGGCTCAGATACTAACAGGGATTTTAATCTACAAGAATCTCAGAGGTTACAGAAAGTGTATGAAGAAATATTTCCATTTGATAAGGAGCCGTCACCAGCAGGGATAGCTATCAACTCTCATGAAGTACCAATTCCAAGTTCCTTCCTCCTACTCATGATGATACCCAACAGCACAGGTTCTTGAAATACCCCTCATTGGGTACAGGAAGTATGTAGTCCTTTGGTGGTGCTTGCTTGTGGCTTTTCATGAGAACCTTAAGGAAAATTTGAATCTTGTTGAGATTTTACGATTCTTTCTCTGTGCCAACACTGACAGTTGCAGAACATTCACACATATCAATGTGCCAGCTATTGGTGTACATGAATACTGTATTGATATACCTTTTGTCAGCTGGTTACAAATGCTGCAGAGATGATCTTTCTACATTAGGTTTTCTGCATTTGTGCAATCATAGCTCATAGTCAAAAGGTTTGTCAAATTGCTCCCCAAATTATTGCCAATTATCCTTATTGGTGGCTTTATTCATGCCTGTTCTGATCTTCCATCACTAGATATCTGAGAAGGTTTTAATCGTGGTCTTTTTTTTTTAAAGATGAAAAGGAGGATTTTCAAATGTCCGATTAAAAGCTGTTTTACGGCCTGTCTTCCCTTAGTTGGTTGTTGTCAACCTGGACTTCTATCTGTATACAGGACGTTTATGTAGAAGAGAAATTGGGCTTCCAGTGTTTTCTAGGGTAAAACAGGGGTCACGATTGAAGGGTAGACAAATAGAAGTTTTGGCGCCGAGAATGCAGGGCCTTTCAAACAACTCTAGCCAGCCAGCAAATGAGTGGGTCTGCATGGCGAGATAAGAAGCGTCCTCCTCATCCTGGAAATTTTCAATTTCAGGCTGGGTGCGCAGCAGCGAAGTGTTCAAGGAGAGATTCCTGAGCTCAGCGGCACCTGCCACAAGGTCAGTGCTGCCAGTGCAGCGCCTGGGACACGGTGTACGGGTGAGATGAGTTTAGGTGGCGTGAACATTACAAAAGTGTTAATTGGTGTCTATCCGACTTTCTCTGACAACGTCACAGCGCTGTGTTACTAGCGGATGATACGCCTTATTAATGCACGAAAGTAGCACCGCTGGAATAAACTGAGCAAAATATGCTTCACAGCTCCTAGGACTTTTGAACCCTCAGACTCTATGGTTCTAAATCTGATCTCAATACCGCTAAAGTTCCAAATAGTGCAATGACTTCTAAACACGAGCCGATTATATTTATTGCAAGAAATTACAACAGAAGCCAACCATAGTACAACAGAGAATTGAAGTATTTGAAGCTTAGTGCAGCGGTCACATTGTAGTTAAAAATGAGAGCCCTAAGATGTAGATGAACCCATCTGAAGTTATATTCAGATTAATAATTTAGGGAGAAATACTAACATCTTGAGGAATCTGTCAACATTCCATAAAATACTGTCTGTATTTTAAATGGGTTCTGAAATAAAATGAGCACAGAAATTGCTAGCGGTATTCCCTTACCCAATCACCATTTGTAAGACCGATCTTGATGGGAACATAACATGTCTCTTCATAGTCACACAGTTCTCTGAGACTGTTATTAAGCTACCATTCAGTCAGTCCAGCACATGATGTATTTAAAATATAAGCTTATGCATTGGAGATCGGAGGCAAATATTTATTTAGTTTATATGTACATGACATTCATGGGGACTATAAACACAGGCAGATTTAAAAAAACAATTCAAAAGATACCCACAAATCACTTCCGTGCCTCATTCATGCCACTTATTAAATACTTCTATCTGGGTAGTTCATAATAATTGTATAGTTTGATTTCTACTATTTAGCTCATGTTAGGAAAAAAATGATGACATCATCTCTATCCCCCGGCCTTCTTTAAATGCCTGTAAGGTGAGTAGCAGGGACATATTCCCAGAATAATGAATTTATCCTTCTGGCAACTGAGGAAGAATCTACCAAGCAAAGATTGTTCGTCTGTTCTGGTTTTCATTTAGGGACAAGCATTATGGGTTCTGTAATTCACGCAACTAAGAACAAAGCAAATTTGAAAAGTCAGTTTCTCCCAAATGACCAAACTGGTTCATTGACCAAGACATGAGGCAGACTTAGTTTGTGTCATCCACTAACACCTAAGACAAGATGAAAAATAAGCTGTAAAGCCATTATTTAAATATCATGTTTAAAATCCAAGCTGAGAAATAAAAGTGAATATTTGAAATTGACTCATCGTACTCACTTTGATATGGTATACTTTAATTAGGAGAAAAAATCATTCATATACACAATTCTCTTCATAAAGTTTTCTATTTCTTGCTAATAACACATTTTAATTTACTTCAGAAAATGCATTGATTTTATTCAAATATATTTTGGCTAAAATATAAATATTTAAATTAAAATTTTAAAAATGGAAAAGACACTTTTTGTTGACTCTTACCCAGATATTAATCAGTCTAAAACTTAAGCAATAAAGAAACAATATATTCTGTAATTATGGTCATTTTAATTTGTCTATAAATATATAATAGAATCTTTGCAACTTGAATAATTAACTCAAACTTCATGTAGTACCGAGCACCTTAGATTACATATTGTTGAATTAAACTATTGGAATTAATATATGTATCATGTTATTTACAATACATAAGTATAATTCTCTTGTATAACAACATTCCAGTGATTTCTGAAAATATATAGTGTGAAAGAGTACAATACAATTTACAAATTTATCAATGCTTTCTCCCAGTACTGAAGCTGGCCTCTACTCTTCAACATTCTAAAATAGGAAACCAACCAAAGATTAATGTCCTATGGCGGTGTTTCCTAAAGCTTTGTCTATAAAAAAAAAACCAAACAAACAAAAACTAGCTTCACAGACACCCCATTACAAAGAAATGCAAGACATACAGAGTCCTCAACTCTACCTTGAAGACTGTGACCCATGAAGACCAGAATTTTTGAGGAGGCTAATAATCCCAGCAAGGGTCTTACAAGTCTTAAGTTGAGCTTAGCAAATAATTTTTTATCATCAAGCTCCTATATCACACCCTCCATGTGAGAACACTATTCAGTGTCCCTTGGAAATGGTGTTGTATGGGAAGTGCTTTGGGGAAATGATAGTTTAAAATGCAACTGCAGCTCTATAAACACACAAATCTAAGGAAGCTTAGTCATGGGCCTTTAGGCAGTTTCACTTTGTATAAGTATCTGCTAAACTAGGACTCTTCAACATATAGGCAGAATGCAGAGCATGTGCTAATGTAAAACTACATGGAAAATAAATACTAAAAATTCATAAATTCTAGGGATATTTTTCAGGGCTTCTGACAAGTAACTCCAAAATCAGATAATGGGTGTAGTTTTTAGTGAGTGAATCTTGAAAGGCAAAAACACCAAAACCAATAAGTATTAAGAGGCTAAATACTGACTTAAAATATTCTTGTAGAAAAATATCAGGTCATTCCTCTGGAATTTCAAAATTAACGTCGATGTTATCTGTAGATTTGACTATACCTCTGGTTCTGTATGTCTGAAACAGCATCATCAAGAACTGAGAAATGGTTTCCATTACTTAAAATGCATGCATGTGAGAATAGGCAGAAACAAGGACCACTCGGAGACACTTCCATGAACACTGTGAAATGCCATTAAACCCCCAACTATGTGACCAGTGGTGTGTATCTCTCTCTCTCTCTCTCTCTCTCTCTCTCTCTCTCTCTCTGTGTGTGTGTGTGTGTGTAATGACAATCTTTTTAAAATTTGCCCAGAATTTCATTTCTGTAAATAAGAGTAAGAGTTTTGGCTCTGAGACAGCATCCATGGGTGTAAGTGTAGCTGCGGAATTAATCACCATTTGTGTGAACGACTCTTCAGGATAGCTTTGTAATTCAAACAGTCCACTTTGGCTCAGATTCCGCCAGCTTAAAGCTCAGGTCAGTATCCAACGCTTTATTTCATTTCTGTTCAGCTATGCTAATGAGAACACTTTGGAATCACTCTATACCAGCTGAAAGGAAACTCATTAAGGAAATTAAGTGACAACGGCTTCATTCTTAAATAAAAGGCAGGTATTAGTGCTCGCTTTGGCAGCACATATACTAGAAAGCTGGGTGTTGGTGGTGTTGTTTTGCTTAACACTGAAAGTTAGCTCAACTTGAATCAGGAACTAGATCACAAGGAAGCAAGGGATCATTTTTAGCCAGGGACAGAGGACTAGGTGAAACTATCCATTTCTCATCTGCTCTGTTCTGGCTTCCCTGGGTGAACCAGTTGCCTAGAAACTGGTGTGATTAACATCTGCACATGCTGTTGTAATGGCTGTGTCCTTGGTTGTCATCATTTCAAAGATATGCTGTGTATATTCATCTGCCCTCATCTCTTTAACCTTGTTCTGTTCTATGAAGTTTTATTCTGATATCCCTGTGGCATTTTTCTTTAGGGTGTCCCTTGTTGCTCCTGAAACTAACAGAGGAGCCTGGGATGCTACATGTGACTCCTGAGACCTGAAGCTGGCTGTGCATGCTACATCCGGTGCACTGCCTGATGTCACACTCCTGTGACACTGCAGGCTTCCTTTCCTAAGGCAAGTCGCCTCTCTGTTCAGGCCACTAAGCCCAGTCGTGTAATCTTAGCAGACAGAAAGGAATGGATGATGAAAACGATTGGCTTGGGGCAGGAGTGAAGGTCCAGTTGCTGAAATTGAAAAAGAGAAGAGCATGAGAAATCTTCAGTTGATGCTTGGTGGAGCATAGTGATTCACACATCAAGCCAATCTGTATGCACTTTCTGTTTCTGCAGTGTTAACAAGAGCAATTCCGTCCTCACATCTTTGTTCTTATTGAGGTAAGGGAATAATAACTCTTCCAACTTGTTCCTTACATCTCCCATACCTTTTTTTTTTTTAAACACGAAGTCTAATGAATTTACCTGATATAATTCCATAAATATTGATGGGACCCTTCTTTGTTGTCTAAACCATTTATTTTCAGCTCCACCATAGTGATGTTTATGTCAAGTTTGGTAAAGCACTCAGCAGTTCAAATTTTACATCTCAGGTTGTTTGGTTCTCAGTTTGACAGTATTTTAGATGTCTAATCTTGGCCAACTTACTTAAAATTCTTCTCAGCCCTACTAACAGAAAAGGCAATTAGTGTATTAAACACAATCCTGCTTGGGAAACTGCCTTCTGACTTGTGAATACAGAGCTCATGCTAAGCTCCTTGTCTTTTCTCTACCCTTGAGCCATTTTGGACACAGGTCTCTCTGATGGTGACTTCTAAAGTCCTAGCCTTCCTGCATAACCTAGGGCATGCCTGGGTAGAGCATAAAGGCCTTCAGAAGTGGGATTATCACTTAATTTAGAAAAATTGGAGGGAACTTCCTGATTCCCTTCCGCTGTCCCAAGCAACTGGTGGAGTTTCTGTGCAACAGGAACAATGTGAGTGTGCAAAAACATCTACCAAACTTAAGATTACTTGTTATAGAGTGTTGTCTTGTTGCCATGAGAAAAACATTCTTACAAAGGCAACGAGGCAAAGTAAGGGTATGTTAGTTCACAGTTCAAAGCACAGTCTGTCCATTGTTATGGGAGAGTCAAGGCAGCAGGGAGCTTGAAGTAGTTGGGCTGGTCACATTGCATCCAAAAGCAGGAAACAAGAATGAGTGTGTGCTGCTGCTCTAGGGTCCTGGCCAGGTATGGTGGAGGAGGTTTGCTTCCACTTCTTTAATGCAGTCCAGAAAGCTCCTCACTGCCAACCTCCTAAGAGATGTTGTCATTGTCTCCACTTTTCATATGGAAAAACTAAATCTAGAGATGTTTTGAACTTTGTGAAATCACAGCTTTTCCAGTCAATAAGGAAGTATGGGCTCAAGTAATTCTGATGCCATAGCTGGAGATTAATTACTATATTCCATGCCACTAGAAAGAGACCCAGTGTTGAACAGTGACATTAAAAACTGTCTGGCACAATTTATAGATGGGATGTAATTTATAGATGGGATGACTTAAATCCAAAGACATGGAAGAAGCAAAATAGCCTTGGATACAATTAAGGATAAAACAAAAGACTAATTCTCATCTGTTTCCACTTTGCTATAATCAGGTTGCCTTTAAGAACAAGTACACAGATGGATGACTGATAGACCAGTAATGAATGAGAAGTGTTTTAGTGACAGGGACTTTCATGTACTACCTCATTTCAGTCATGGTCTCAGGCTACATTTAAAGAACTGATATATATATATATATATATATATATATATATATATATATATATATA